GCTAAGAATGGCTTTTACATTTTTAAAAGGTTGTTTTTAAAAAATGTAAAGTCATACACAATGTAAGTCCACAAATCCTGAAATATTACTATTTGGCCCTTTGTAGGAAAAGTTTGGCGCAGTTGGTGTAATAGTTTCCTCTTTTGAATACATTTGCGATTTAAAATGACCATGGTATAAGTGACAAAGAATAAACCTTTAAGGTGGAATTTCCAAACTTATTTTAATAGGAAGGGAGGAGGTAGTTTTGCACAAGGAAGATTTTATTTCGCTTTTTGCTTCTCTAGTGAGATAAATTTTCCACCAATGATTAAGAATCACTTAGTGGTATTTGATTATCAGTATGGTACTGTAGGGTCCAACAATCCTAAGGCAATTAAACTCATGGGGGTGAATGTGATCTCAAATTATTATAGATGGCTAAGTTACACAGAAATTAGTTTGTAGTCAGAAAGGGATTGGGCTTTCGAGGAAATCAGCACAAAAGATGAGGACACCAAAATGTGGGTGGAGGCAAATATGAAGAGACTCAGGACTCAAGATGGAGATGCAAGAGCCAAGCCTTCAAGCCTCCTTAGCGATAAACAGCAACCTCAGACTATTCTGTACTTAGCACTACCTGGCCCAGCGAGCCTGGGTAGGCGTGCAGGGTAGGTGAGCAGAACATTTGGACCCATTTCCCCTCCCTTTCCAGGAGCACTCTACCTTTGTTCTTTCCATATACCTTTTCTATGTGATTCATTTCACTGCTGGATGAATATTCCCTAAGTGTAGTTTGATACACATCGTACTCATGTTGTGATTTGGCTGTACAAATTACCCTTTGTGATAGCCAGCCTGACTTCAACTTGTGCCTCATTGCCATTTTGTACCTGTGCTTGAATAATGCACTTGCACTTGAACAAAGCACCCAAACCCCCCACATCCTGCTTGGCAATAAACTTGCTGCAGTTGTAGGATGTTTTGTAACTCACCCAGTGTGTGTGTGTGCAATTTGCTTATGCCCCCCACTAACCTGGCATGGTTCTGCTTCTATAAGATTCCAGTTGCTCTCCCCTGAACCCTCCCCAACTGAAAGCATGATTTAAAAGGAGAAATCAAACTGCTTCCCATTGCTGAGGAAACTTCTGAGCTCTAGCTCTCTTTAGCCGCCAGCTATAATAAAGCACTCTGTGCTTGACTCTGGCACAGAGTGTGGTGCATCTCTGTTGTCCGAATTGTCCAACACTTTGACAAAACCCTCAGTGGCCTCCTACTCAGGACCCATCTAAGAAGTCCAGGTCCTCTCTTCCTTTTCTTCCCTCCTCCTTCTTCCTCTTCCTCATCCTTGTCTTCCCAATAAAAACTATCTCAATCTCCTCCTTTGGTTCGCGACTTCATCATTTGATGCTGTGAGGCCACGAACTTGGAACACCTGACATCTAAATGTCCCTCCATCATCATGCTACTAGCTAATCTAATCACACTTTTCTTTTTGTTTCTTTATCTTTTACTCCTTGCCTTTGGCCTTCTTTCCAAGCCTCCAAACTCCAATATTTCAACCACAATTTCTTTTCCTTTAATACATCCATTTATTGGATCAGCTATGGGGAAGGGAGATGGGAGAAGTATGAAGTGGAGAGGAGCAAAGGTTCATTTTACTGCTGGAAGTAAAGTCCAGGAGGGTGGTGGCTCTGCCTTGTTTTCTATTACCCTATATGTATTCCTAAATTCAAAAACAGGACTTAGAAGGTGTAGGCAATCAGTATTCATTGAATGAATTTAAAAAATACAGGGAAGGTAATATAGGTTCTACTATAAAACATCATAAATTACAAGGAACTAGTCTTTGCCCTTATTATAATTATAATAATTCCCAATTTATTAGATGTTGGGATCATTAGTTATTTAAATTCCCAAAGGTTAATCTTTGTCCTTACAAACCACAAAACACAAAGTTAATTTAAAACAGTGACAACAGCAAATCACTAGGCATAATCTGAGCGGAAGAGCGAGGATAAAACCGAATTAGTTTATTAGTAGACGCTGGCCACTTGCCAGGGTAAATGGGGAAACGTGATCTCCAAAGAAAGCCCTTCAAAACCCACCTCACTTTTCATGTCCCTTGGCTCACAGCGGTCTCTTGCCGCCCCCTGCTGGCCTTCTAGGTTCTGGCGACAGACAACAGAGGCAGGGCAATCCGCGTCGCCGAGTCGATGACATCACCTACGCGCGCCACCGGAGGCCGGAAGTCTTCACTTCCACTACTCCGTCCCACTTAGGATACCAGGAGCGGAAGTTGGAGGCATCTCCTGGAGTGTAAGTGCAGTGAATAGTTCAGGGTGAAATTGGGGGCTTGCTCTCTGTGCTGTTTTTAATTTCTTTTTTCAAAGCCGGCGTGGCTGTTTCAGATATACACATAGCCTCTTTCAGAATTGCGGTTTGAGGAAAAAGAGGGAGGAAAGAGCCTATGATATGGAATTACTGTTGCTTTGATTTTGTACAGATCTACCTGATTCAAATCTTCCACGTCTCAACTAGCTAAAATAAGCTAGTAAGGTAGCTCGGGATTATTTCAGATTTTAGGAGTAATGTCTATCTCTTAAGTTGTGGAAGCTTAAGTAAGACAGTGTATACGAATCACTTAGCTCTCATATTCATGATTCTGCTACCTTGTCTCATCATAGGAGACGTTTACTTGCCATTTTCTTCCCAGTACGACTGAGAAATGTTCAGTTTGCAAGGGGCATTGCATCTCATGGAAATATTACGCAGTTTTATCTGGAATCGACCCTTTATTCCCTATTACGGATTCCTGATATTTTAGAAATACGTTTTTCGCTGGAATGCGAAATCCTCTTTTCTTAAGACAAATAAGGTGAGAAATGCATTGCTGTAAAGATCCTCATACTTATTTAGCTCGCTATGTTGAAAGACTACCGGCTGGATTGTGCTACCCGAGGACCAGTGATTAGCCATTCCATTAAATAAAATTATTTAACAAGAAATTTGTGGAGCAGAGGAAAACATAAATCTTCTTTTATTTCTTAGATTTAACAAGTTATAAGTACAGAGATTTTCCGTGTGTTTGTTAAATTTGAATATTAACCCTTAAGATAATGACTTTAGCATATAGTGTTATCGTGGGCATACTTTTTATAACAAGTGTTTATTTGATTGTTTATTTCTTTGGAATAATTTCCAGTAATTGGAAAGACTGAGTTAAAGGATATGGATATTTTAAATTGTGACACAGGTGCCAAATTTCCTTTCACTAACATTATTCAAGAAATTTCTCATATGTTCACCAACCGTCAATATTGTTAATTACTGATTTTATATTTAGCTGAGAATGCTCTGCCATTGGGGGGTTTTTCATTTTAGTTATTGTCAAGATCAGATTTTAGTTTCCAGTTCTAAGTATTTCACTTCTTTTCTTCTCTATAAATAATACTTACTTTAGATTCTTTAGGTATAAATTTTATAAAAGAAATGATTCATTTCACTAAGTATTTTAAGTTAAAGATATGAGGGAAGGTTGTATTTATGTGGGACCTTGTACCATGATGGCATCAGAAAGATGGATTCTTCTGAAGAAAAGGAAAGCTTAAGCAAAGACTATTTGAGTGGGCAAGAATGTTCAGCATCAGAAGTTTGAGAGCTCATGCTGCTAGGGAGTAAGGATGATCAAAGAAAAAAGACAGCTGGGAAAATGGTTAGAAGTAAGTGATGAGGGTTTTGAAGGTCAATATGAACATTCTGTTTTCTGGAAGAGAGCTTCAGAAGACATTACTCAGTAAATGAAGGATATAATCACGTCTTTGTTTTATAAGTACCAGGATGGTGGCAGTTTTCTGGTGTTAAAAAGGCAAGGTAGGCAGCTGGTATAGACTGGATAAGAGGATGTGAAGAGTCATAAGAATTTGAGATTAACAGGGGCCAGGGATTAGCTCAGTGATTCTGCTGCTTGCCTCGCAAGCTCAAGGTCCTGAGTTTGATCCCTGGTACAAAAAAACAAAAACAAAAACAAACCAAAACTACATGATCTAATAAATGAGGGCTTGAGAAAGAAGGCAAAACTCAGGTTTTTTTTTTTTTAATTATGACTGATTTTTAGGATAGTGACATTAATCAGAGGAAGGCTAGTTAGGGCATTGTGAAAGATGCGCAGGTTATGTTTTTGGCATGTTAATTTATGTGGAAGATACTTGTGTAAGTTACAAAGACATAAAATCTACTTGTGATAGATTCAGGAGAAACCTTTACAGATTTATTACTCTTGTTAAGAATCTTGGCATATGTTTTCACTTATTTTTTTATTTACCATTAGTACGCTGTTGTATGCTCTGTGATTTGTTCAGCTAATAATCTCAAGATAGTACATTGTCTAGAGTAGTAGTACTTCAAACTTGTATAGACTTATCAAACATGTTCATAAATGTACATCCAAAATATGTGTATTTAGTGATTGATTATATACATGTCTTATGGCATGACTATGTTTTGTACATTACAAAAAATGTCAAGAGTGGAATCTTTCAAAGGCCAAGACAAGAATGGAGTTTTACTATTTTTTTTCCCCTACATCCTATTAGATCATCTTGCACACCTCTTCAGAGAACACTGGTTGGATCCTTAGCTGACATAAAGATCTATCCCACTGTCCAGTAGAGGTCAGGCTTGAGCCTGACAAAGAACATGTGCGATACAAAGTAGAACCTTCCTTGTTCAGTTAGAGATGGATCTTATTTTTAATTCTAAATTCATGCAATTTTGGAAGAGTAAGTAGTGATAATATGTGATACTGTAGAAAAGTGAATACTAGGAAGCTCAGTAGAATATGGATCAATCTAAAGTGTGCTTTTGTTTTTGTTTTTAGTGTTAGTTTTTTTGAGTGCTTTGCATTTGAGTTGAATGTTGCTGGAGTTTGAAAAACTTTTTCCAATTCTTTGAAACTGTAGTCTCTGTGAACCACAAGAATGTTTCCACATGTGGGCACAATCTAAGTTTTTGTTAAAATTGTGGCACTTGAAAAGACAGATGCAAAAGAGGCTTTCTTTGAAATTGATCTTGGAAGCAGTATCTTCAGCCCTAAAATGTTAGTGGTGAGTTTGAACCATCTATCTCTATTTTATATTTTGTGCTTAATTAAGAGAGAGGGCTAAAGGATATATTTCCCCTAAGTAAGAGCATGTTTTAAGCAATTAGAAATTAAGAAGCGAGTTTGTTACAGTTATGTATTCTAAAAAGAAAGAATTTAAAAAATTTATATTATTCAGATTTAGCTTAGGAACAAATTATCTAATAGGTGGAATAATGGACACTTTTCATTGCTTTTCTAATAAACTAATAGCTAATTTCAGTAGTGACGTGCGATTATAATCATATAAGTTCATATGTTTTTATGCCTCACTTCTAAATGATCAGGAAAAGTAGTTATTAAAGTTTTAGTTACTGCCAGAAGCTGGAATTTGTGTCATGCAGCAGGTGCAGAGAGCATTGACTTAGTCTTGTGTACTAGGGTGATGGGTAGAGAAGAATGGTAAAAGTAAACATTTTATGTTCATGTAACTCTGGGGCTAGTGTCATTTACCTGTAGTCCCAGAAGGCTGAGGCAGCAGTATCCCTTGTGCACAGGAGTTTGAGCCAACCTGGGTAGCACAGGTCCTGTCGTTGTGTGGATTCAATATCCCAACTGCGTCTTTTTCCTCCCCTCCCCTCCTGTCTTCTCCTCTCTTCTCCCTTCCCCTCTCTTCCGCTCTTTTCCTCCTCCTCCCAGCTCACCCTTCTCCCATTCTCTCCCTCGTGCTGGGATCTCACATGCTATTCATGCACTCTACCGCTGAGCCACACTCCCAGGCCCCCAAGCAGATCATTTTGAAGATGGAAATATGTTCAGAATTTTTGCATTACCATTGAGGAGACAGTAAGATACATTGAGTGATATGACTGTTGGAATCAGGAGCTATTGACAGAGGCCCATGTATGATAAGAAGGCTGTAATGCTAGGATGGATTTAAAGGGTACCATAAATCTAGAAAAAGATATTTAAGGTGGAAATTATAGCCTGAGGTTTTGTTTTCAATGCTAGATTTATTAGAGTTTGAAAACGAAAGGCTGGAGGCAAAGAAGCTTGCAATATACAGGCAGGGCAAAGTCCAATACCTGAGAAGTTGGAGACAAGGCAGAAACGAAGATGTGACTCACTGAGAATAAGCTGAAGGTTTGGAAGCCAGGAAGAAATAGCAGAATTGGAGAGGGCCAACTGATTTTGGGTGGCCAAGACAGGCAAAGTCAAATAAAAAGAAAGAAAAGCCTGAATAATTCTGAACAGTAGTGATGCTATCCTGTTTTGTTATGTTAAAAGTGGAAGCAGCCCTGGGTCTGCATGTAACCAACAGAAACAGTGAGCTTCTGTTGAGAAATAGTTATTTTCTTGTAGAAAGGACTGGGCTACTTATAGAATCAGAATGTGATCTTTTAATTATTTAACACAGGCACTTATACATAATATATGTGTTGTTTTATACAGCATTCCGAAAGATTTGGGCTACCTGAGCATTATGGCATCAAGAAACCTCTGGCATATGAGAAGTAACTTTCTTTTGGGTTCAAGATGTTGGATAACCCAATATTCAACAGAAATCTTCAAATCCATTTCATTTAGGCTTTTTGGTATGAAATGTGATAATGCAGACCGTGAGCCTTTGGAAAAGGAAGACGTGCTGAACAACTTAGTTGCTATGGGAGTTGATATTGACATGGCTAAGAAACGACAGCCTGGAGTTTTTAATAGGACAATTACTAATGAGCAAGACCTGCAGATGTTCCTTCTTTCCAAAGGAGCTAGTAAAGAAGTGATTGCTAATATCATATCAAGATATCCACGAGCTATAACACGTACTACTGAAAGTCTTTCAAAACGGTGGGATCTGTGGAGAAAGATAATGGCATCAGATCTTGAAATTGTAAATATTTTGGAACGTTCTCCTGAATCCTTTTTTCGGTCCAAGAACAATGAAGAGTTAGAGAAAAATATAAATTTCCTGTATTCGGTTGGATTGACCGGTAAATGCCTTAGTCGACTATTGACCAATGCCCCTCGTACTTTCTCCAATAGTCTTAGTTTGAATAAACAGATGATTAAATTTTTGCATGAAGTCTGTTTGTCCTTGGGTTATAGTGACCCTACAGATTTTGTCAGAAAGATAATTTTCAAAAATCCTTTCCTCTTAATTCAGAGCACCAAGCGGGTGAAAGCTAATATTGAATTTTTACAATCAACTTTCACCTTGAACAACAAGGAACTGCTGGTTCTGATATGTGGTTCAGGAGCTGGACTCCTAGGCCTTTCCAATGACTATGTCAAAAGAAACTACGAAAATATCAAAGAAAAGCTGTTTTCCTTTGGATGTACTGAAGAAGAGGTTCAGAAGTTTGTCTTAAGCTATCCAGTCGCGATCTTCTTGGCAGAGAAAAAGTTTAATGATAAAATAAACTACCTTATAGAAGAAAAAATTAGTATTTCACAAATAATTGAAAATCCTCGGGTTCTAGATTCAAGCATAAATACTTTAAAAAATCGAATCAAAGAATTAGTACCTGCTGGCTATAACTTGAATACATCAAAAATCACTGTTCTATCTTGGAGTCAAAAAAGATATAAAGCTAAACTGCAAAAAACTAAGAAAACAGCACCTGGAGCATAATTCTTAAAATTTAGTAACGTTTATTTTTGACTTTGGAGTGTCAAAGGAGAACTGTGATTTCTTAACCACAGATACATATGTAAATAATCCTTTAAAAATTTTGGCTTAAAGGTTTGCAAAAACTCTTAGTTGGTATGTTCTGATGTACTTCTCCCAGCTACTACTTCTCTAGTTTGAATTAATGCAACATCCCATTGTATGTAGGCTGTGACTGCTGTACAGTATGGTAGTTCCTGAGTGCTATACAGAACAGTGTGGAGAAAGATAGTACAAAATAAGCACTTGTAGTTCCTGTTTAGATTTAAAAATTAACAGATTTGGGATGGACATTTATAGCTTAGGAGGACAGCATTTGCCTAGCACGTGCAAGGCCCTAACTTTGGTCCCTAGCACAGCAAAAATAAAAATAGACAAAAAACAAATTGACAGACTCATGTAGGCAATTAGTTCTGTTTCCTCTCATTGGTTTGAATGACAAGTCATTTTATTATTCCAACTTATAGAATTAGGTTATCCTGAAAATAAAATGCCAGTAAAAAGAGTAAAAAAATCCAACAAAAAGGATTTTTTTTCATTCCAAGTTCCACGTTCTCCATTTAAACCATTAATATGACATTACTGTCCCCCTCAAAAGTAATAGTCCCTATAGTCTACTGCAGGTGTGTTCATATTTCTTTGAAGACAAGGCACCTGTGGTGGGTATAAGAATAATGGTCACCTAAAGAAGTTAATGTCCTAGTTTCTAGAAGCTGTGACTATGTCATGTTACATTGCATTGGATTTTACAGAAGTGATTAAGTTAAAATGTGGTTAAGGCCCTTGAGATGGGAAAATTATCCTAAATTATTTGAGTGGGCCCAATATCAGGATTCTTAAAAATGAAGAGGGAGGTGCTGGGGATTTAGCTCAGTGGCACTGCACCTACCCAGCAAGCACAAGGTCCCAAGTTTGATCCCTGGTGGGGTGGGGGGAGGCAAGAAGGGAGGCTGTAGAGATGTAATATAAGAATGACTTGGCCACTTTTGCTATCTATGAAGGACAGAGGTGCCATGAAGCAAAGAATGTGGGTGGGTGGCCTAGGAACAGATTCCTTTTTTAATTTGTTTTTTTGAGACAGGGTCTCACTATGTAGTCGAGACTGACCTGGAACTCACTATGTAGCCCAGGCTGTTCTCGAACTCATGGCGATCCTCCTGCCTCAGCCTCCTGAGTGCTGGGATTACAGGTGTGCACCACCACGCCTGGCTCAGTATCAAAAACTTTTGATCTATATAACTGTGAGAATAAATTTATGTTGTCTTAAACCACTGATTTGTGATAACTTGTAACGGCAGTAAATAGATTGATATAGCAACTGAATAGATGAGTCCTTGCATTTCAGGTGAAGAAATCACAAAATATGGTCCTTATCACATCATTTCTCTATTTCCGTATTTCTGTATTCAGTTTCTTGGTGAATAATTACATTTAAAAATTATCTACTCTTCTGGAATTGCTAACAAGTTAATATTTTTGAAGTCCTCTAAATATGAATAAAAGCTTAAGTGAAGATCCAGGGATTTAGCTTAGGGATTTTGCACCTGCCTTGGAAGCACAAGGTCCTAAGTCGATCCCTGGTACTGGAAAAAAAACCAAGCAAACAAAAAAACAAAACTAAGTGTAAATACTATTGCTTTATTTTAGCCAAAAGGCTGAGAAGTGATACTGAGTGTCACAAATAACATTAATTAAAGAAATTTTTTGCCTATTGGATGTAACTTAAAATACTGGTAATTTCCATTTTATTGGCATTCCATCTAATAAAAATAAAAAGTGAGAAATTGTAGAGACATTGACTTGAATGAAAAGATCACAGCTATTCATAATCAATTTGTACCACTGATAGAAACAGAATGCCTGTTTTTCCAAGGCCATGTATATATGTTCAGTGATACTCATAATTGTTTCCAGTGAACTATTTGATGACAAGCATGGTATACTTTAGAAAACATGGACTTTACAGAAATATTTCTAGAGTGCTATAGCAGGGCACCATTTTAAATTATATTTTGTGTAAATATATTTAAATTCATTGAATTGTTTTCAATGGTAGCTTAAGAAAAATTATAGGAATGTTTTTAAAAACAGCTTTATGGATACATAGTTCACATACCATACAGGGCACTCAAGATATTTAATTAAATATTTAAAAAAATATGGGTGTGCAACCATTGCCACAACCTAGTTTTAGAATATGTTTGTGCCCCTAAAGTAAATCCTATACCCATTAGCATCCAATTCCCATTATTCCCTTCTATCCCTGCAACCCTAAGCAAAAACTAATCTTTCTGTCTCTAAATTTTATTCTGGGTATTTCTTAGAAATGAAATTATACAATATGTGGTTTTATGACTGACCTCTCTCATTTAGCATAATGTTTTCAAAGTTTATCCATGTAGCACATACCACTCTTCCTTTTTATTATTAAATAATATTCCATTGTATGGCTGCAGTAGGGTTATTGGAAATATATTTTATTGTTTTGTCTTGAAACTATTAATTCCTTAAGTCTTCTGAATTATATGGGAGTATTTTCCAAGATACTGCTTTGAAATCTAACAAGTTATGGAACTTGGGAGGGCTGGGCAGAGGAGACAAAGTGTATTTATTTTATTTATTTATTTTTTTGGTACCGGGTATCAAACTCGGGTCCTTGCACTTGCAAGGCAGGCGGCGGAGACAAAGTTTATTGGCATCAGCAGATCATGAGAATTACACCTGGATTGATATAAATTGTTATAGCAATAATAGTTGCCTGTGCCCAAGGAGAACGCAGAACAAAAGTACAATATAGCATTTGATCATTGAGCAATAGATGGGCAGATCTAACTTTATGGGAGAAATGAATAGATAATGCTTGTCAGGCAACATGAAGTACCTTCAAGTTTGAATCTAATGGAGTCAATTTTTAAAAAATTGAATTAAAAAATTTAAAACTTTGTTATAAGTGAAAGAATGATCCATATTTTCAATGGGAATAAGGAAAATCCTAAAACAAAACAAAACAAAAAAACCCTGATAATCTTTCAGACAACATTTTGATAACTTATTATTTTTCTATGCAATAAATATCCATTCAGGAATATAATATGAGTAAGTAGATACATATATAAGTTGAGGTCAAACTAAAATTTATAAATTGCTTTTCTTAACAGATTCTGAATATATTACATATTTTTCAATATTATGAATCAGTTATCCACCAAGTACATGCTTTTTAATGGTTGAATGAAATTGTTTTGTTTGGATAAGCCATAATTTCTCTAATCAATCTCCCATCATTGGGGAGAGCAAGCAGATTTTAGTAATATGCTGAAAATTCCACCAGCAGTATTTCAGTATTCCACAGTGTGTACATACTAGCCCATTGATAGGCTGTATAAATTTAAAAAGTTTGCTATAGAAAAATGTAAATAATAAGTATTGCATTTTGCTCTTTTTTAAATGTCAGAAGGATCTGGAAACTAATTTTTTAAAGAAATGGGAACCATTTGTAAATTCTAAATTATTAGCATAAATTTGAGGACTTTAAAATAACTACAGAAATTGGGACAGTATCAGAGTAGAAAGAAATGAGTTCATTAGGCAGTAGGAACAAAAATGATGTATAAACAAAAAAGGGTTTATTGGGTTACTTAACTTGTCATTTCACTTCTTAAATAATTTGTACTGTTGGGGTGTACACATAGTATGTGACTTTTGTATAAAATACCTGACTATTGTCTCCTTTGTGAGACTGTAAGTCCCACACTTCATACCCATCTGTATAATCTAGTAGAAATCTACGGGAGAATCTGCTGATGGCAGAACCCTATCCATAAGCTTTGATAATAGTCTATTGTTACACAGTCTAGGCAAAACTTGGTGCTGTGTGGGATGTGATTACCGTATTATTAGATTTGGGAAAGAGAAGCCCTTTTCAGGGACAAGGCCCTGGGTCTTATTGGTTATCAGAAGATGTAAGAGTCAGGTGTAAACAGGCCAATATGTCCCTGGACTGTGGGTGTTCCCATTCACTGGTCAGTTTATGTCCTGTTGCCTCGGGAACCTGGTTTAGGATTGAGCTGTGATAGAATCAGTTTTTTTGCTTCGTTTTTTTTGTACCTGGGATCAAACTTAGCACCTTGTGCTTGTGAGGCAGGCGTGGTACCACTGAGCTAAATCCTCAGCCCATAGAATCAGTTTTGAGCAGTTGGGGAAGGCACTTCCCAGCTGACCATAATAACAAGGTAAATGTCAAAATGAGGTCACCTGTATCTTATTTTTACCTTGCTGTTATTCTCAAATGATGCTCTTGCCTCTACTTTCACAGAGATTAGGGAAATAAAAGGGGAAAAAACCAATGCATGTAATTTCTTTGAGGGGGCATGATTTAAACCATATTCTTGGCAGGAACTTTGAACCTTTTGATTAATTTTTGAGGGAATTTGTTGTAAAAATAGACATACTGGAGCAGTCTTATTCTGGCTCAGTTTCACTATTCAACAGATAAGTGTTTGGAATTTGTTTTTCACTAATAACTTTTCTAAAGATTAATGGGTTCATATGCATGAATTGCTTTGTGTTGATTATGAAAAAATTTAATACAGTGTTATGTTCTTCCATCTCCATTTTGAATATTTAGTCCCACCTTTATCAGTTATCAAAATACTTTCAATTTAGGCCCACTATGATTGTTTTTCTTTTTATAATAGAAAAGAATTTATTTTTTGATAACACAATCATTGTAGAAGCCTTTGAACAATACAAAGAACCAAAATTCTTAGCTAACTAACCTATTTATCATGAAGTTGAGAAAATATCTTCTTAGTTTACAAAGAGCTTTGTTTAAATCAGAGATGAATAATTGTTTTTTGAGAAAATTCTTTAAAAATCTTCTCTTTTAATCTTTAATATTGTGGCATAGGTGGATTAACTCACAACTTTTTTTTTTTTTGAGCTGACATGAAGCCTATGCTGTATTTAACTTACTGATATTTTACTTAGGCTTTTTCATTAGTACTCAGGGGAACTGGTAGCAACCTACCTCACGTTATGAGTTTTTGGTGGTAGGTTCTTTGTATTTTAAAGGTAGGGAGGTTGCTACCTTGCCTGCTTTTTGGCTTAGGGTTCTGCTAGCCTCATAAATTCAGAAGCAGGCTGGGACTTAGTTCAGTGGTGCCACCGCCTGCTTTGCAAGCACAAGGTTCCAAGTTCAATACCTGGTCAAAAAAAAAGAAGAAAGGAAATTCAGAAGCTTACTGTTTTTCTTTTATGCTTTGTAACTGTTTGAAAATTCTGAATTATCCATTTCTTAAAGTTTGACATAACTCACCAGTAAAATAATTTGAGCCTGCTATTTTATTCAGGGTAGATCCTTGACAACAATAGAAAGTTGTGAAGTTTATATAAAAGTGTTTGACCTACACCTTTTCAATAAATATCAGTATAAAGTAAAGCTCTCTCTTATTTAAGGCATTTTGATATATGCAACAGTATGGGCAAATCCCAAACTATTGTGCTGTATGAAAGAAGCCAGATAAAGAGTACAACCTATATAATTCAACTTATATGAGATTCTAAAAAATACCAATTTATTGACAGGAAGCAAATTATAGGTTAGTGAGATTTTGGTGGTTGGATGGAGAAGGGTATGATGGAGGAACTACAAAGGAGCATGAGCAAATGTTTGAGGGTGTATATATCCATCATGATTGTTGATGGTTTTGTGATGTGCATATATGGCAAAATGTATAAAATTATGTTGTAAATATGTGCAGTTCAATATACTTCAGTTATACCTCAGTAAAGTACGACAGTTTGTCCATTCAACACCGATGCCATCTTTGCCTGATAATAAATTCCCATATCTGTTTCTAGATTCTTTACTACTCTCTTAAACAAATGTTTTAGACTTTATTTTTATACCCATATCAAGAATTAAACAGTGTTCTCTTCAGTAACAGAATTGGGAGACCTGAGAAGATATCTGGACAAAATATTGACATATTCATCCTCAGAATAAACTCCAAATGTAAAAAATTTTGACGTGAATTTTGGAGGGATACAACATTTACATGATAGCAATATATATGCTAGCAATGAATAACTTACTATCC